CCCGACTCTGGCGCTGGTGATTTATGTGGGAACCGTCCTCGCCCGCAGGGCCTGTGCTGCTCAGCCGGCCTAGCGGGTAGAGGGTGGGGGTGGCTTGGAAGAGAACCGGTGCCCCGGCCCATCCAGCGCTCGCTTTTACGGCGCCCCCCTCCACCCCTACCTCCGGGACATTTTACAGCCGCTCCCCCAGGAAGCTGAGCGCTTTATCGCGGTAAAGTAAACACCATTATCCCAGGTCCATTAACACCGAGATTTTGGCGTTGTAAATAGAGAGCGAGAGGGAGAAGAGCAGCCCCCGCGAACTCCCTAGTAAAACGCTCAAGGTTCTCCAAGATTTATGGCCGCTGATTGGCCCCCCAACCTTCTAAGAAATCCCAGTCTTGACCAAAGCCAGAAGGTGGGGCGTTCCCCCCAGCCTAGAAATCCCGCCCTGGCTGTTAGAACTATGAGGGTAGGGAGTCCCCAGGCCGTATCTAGCCTAGTCATTAATTTTCTGTAAGTCACAGGCCCAGGAATTCTGATTCCTTTCCGCCTGTGGCTGCACAGATAAACTCTGCAACTCCCCAGAAGCTCTTAGCACATTGCAACCAGTGTAGATGGTGCCAGGGGCCAGGATGCTTGTGTTCCAGGTTCCTTCCTCATTTGTAAACTGGATAGTGCTTTCAGCAGCTACTTAGGAGTCCATAAAGCGCAGAAGACTTGCAGTTGGTGGGCGCTGCCCCACACCCTGTGACCTGGGGCTGTCATTTGGCCGGCTTCTATATCCTTGCTTTTGTCCCTCTTTTCAAAACGAAACATCCACCGTATCTGCTCTCAGCCCAGCCTATATATGAAATCAACTAAGGATGATGGTGCTGGCACACAGCAGAGAAGATAGTCCTAGATCTCCACCTCTCTGAGTTTCTATTTTGGATGAGTATCTAGTGACATGTTCCAGGAAGTTTCTGCTCATCTAAGAGCGTGGTTTCTTTATCCCCTCAAGTCAATATTTATATTGAGAAAACAGTGGATTTTGAACTAGAAAAAGTGGCTTAGTTTGATTGAGAAAACAAAGGGATAAGTTTTCTAGACCAAGGGAAACTTGAGGAGAAAGGCCACTCCTCCCATAGTCTTGAGAATTCAGTAATTCTTGACAGTCTTCACTGGGCTGAAGAGTTGGCTTTTGGGGAGGGGCAATAGGAAAAAAAAAAACGGTGCAAAAGGGGGCCAGAAATTGTTTCTGGTCCTGTGGCATAACTGGTTCTATCTAGAGCAGGGACTTCAACCCTTTTTTTTTCTGTACCAAGGACCCCTTTGAAAACTTTGACAGTCGGGTGAAGCCCACAGATCCCCTTCAGAATAATATTTGTAAATGTACAAGATAAAATACATACCATGATATTGAAACACAGTGATCAAAATCTTTTTAAAGAGTGATATAGTAAATTAATATATATATGCTTCTTTATTAATTGATTAAATAATAAAATCTAGTGGCAGGCCTAACAACAACCATAATTTCAAAGTAGTGATGAATGTAAATGGCATTTTCAGGTATCTGCAGAAGCAGTAATGTGCTACGATGATATCAGTGATTTCTATTGGTAACAAAGCACAGATACTACTACTACTGGAGTTTGTTGCCTACATTCAAAAGTGAAGAAAATGCTAAACTACAGTTAGAACTAATAAGACACAGATATAGTCTTCCATTCAAATTCATAGATTCCTGGAATTCTGTCCTCAAGTCCCTTGGGGATTTATAAACTGCCAGGTTAAGAGCCCCTAGTATAGGGACAAAATATAGACCAATTCATCTCAAAGACTGGTCTTTGGGTCACTTGCATCAGAATCTTCTAAGGGTGTTTATGAGAATCACTGCTTCTACTCACCATCAATTAGCACCAACACTCTGCCTGGCTGCCTGGCTGATGAAAGGAAGATCCTTTTGGAGAACTGAGGGGTGGCGTGGGAAAGCAGGGATTCTGGGCAGAAGCTCTTCCATGGAGACTACTTTGAGGTGGTGCATGTGAACTTGATGGGCACAGAAAGCTGGAGCATGGGAGGACACCAGGGAAGGAAGCTGGAATGGGACATTTTGGTGAAGTGTCCCAGTGTGCTGCAGAGGGTCTGGATAAACTTCAGAAAGGAACTGGTCCACATCTCCACCTTGTTCCGGTATTTTACATGTGAGAAACTTGTCAAAGGCCACATTGTTGGTGGTGAGTTCAGAGCACACCACACGGTCAGGGGCAAGCCACATCCCTATGACCCTGTTTCAATTTCTCCAATAGCTCTCTGCACTGGCTTCCTTTTTGCTCTCAGGTGCTCCTGAGTTCTGAGCTTTTACAGAGCCTTCCCATGTGGGCATCTTTGGCACTTTCATTCATTCACTCAATGAATGCTAGGGACTAGGCCTTGTCCTAGATGCCATGAAAGATATAGAAATGAGTACTGAGGCAGTCACTACCTTTAAGGGATTTTCAGATACTCTCCTCATGACCAATCTTAAGTAATCCCAGTAAGCATGGAAACTCTTGACCTAGGCCTGCTTTGACTTTTACAAACATGCCAAAAACCAAAGAAATCTCATTGGAGGGGAGGAAGAGCTTGTAATATATTGATTAGTTGATTAGTTGGGTCCTGTCTTTCATATGGTAAAAGGCAAGTTTTGCTAGTTAGACTATGAACTTTGATGAGCATCATTATAATGTTAAAGTGTTGTATAAAGTGTGACTGGTTCCAAATGTAAGAAATGTGCAAGACACACCCAACACAACACTTGAGGATAATTATGAAATTGCTGGCCCCAGATCAAGCAAGTGATTATAATTGACAGCACAGAGTAAACACAGCTCTAACACATTTCTACCTGGCTTGAGTTTAGCTCTAGCCGCACTGTTGGCCTAATTTTGTATTCTCACACATATCTTCATCAGGTTCTTGGATCATGCTCCAGAGATAGCAGGTGGGTCTGTGTGCAGAATTCAGAGTTTAATAACAACAAGGAAGAGCAGGAAGGGAAAAGGATCTAGAGTCAGAAGATATGGAGTCAAACAGATCTGTTTCTGTCATGTAAGAAATTTTGGACTTGGGCAAATAAATTGAATTTGGATTTTCTCTTTGGTGAAATGAGTATAGTAATGCCTATTTCATAAACTTGTTAGAAGGAGTAAGATGATGTGTGACAAAAGTGCTTTGTAAACTGTAAGTCACTACATAATGTGAATAGTTATTATGTGCTTTGGAGCCAGATGGACCTGGATTGCAAACCTGGCATGAACCACTTACTTGCCATTTGTGGAAGTTTTTTAACTTTCAGGGCTTGGTCTTCTCATCCATTAAATGAGACTAATAATACCTATTTCTCTGGATCATTGTGGTAAGAGTTAAATGAGATCATTGTATGTAAAAGAATGCCTACCACATTGTAAGGTAGCCAACAGCCATTCCTAGGTTGTCAATGTTGGGATGGGGGTGACTGTGTCCTACTTGTCTTTGTGTTCTTAGAACATGGCAGAGACCGCTGAGTATAGTAGGCTCTTAATTTTGGTTGAATGAATGACTAAGGAAGCTTTGTATATGTGTCACTAGGCACAGCATAAGCTATATTTACCCAAAGTCCTCACTGACCCAAGAACACTTGTCCTGGGTCATTTTCAACCTTAGTTTTACCAGAATGGGGCTCCCCTGAATTCATCCCTCTCCTAGAGAAAGATGGGGTCATGATGAGATTCAGAGCATTAGTAACAGCAAATGGCTCCAGGACATGGCTTAGGAAAAAGATGCATGTTTCTAAACTAAATTCATCAAGGAAGCAAGCCATCAACAAATGTTTGTTGAGATATTATGTGTGCCAAGCATATTCTAGGTTTTGGGGATTCAGCAATAAACAAGACAGACAAGATTTCTGTCATCAGTCCCTTTAGCCAATGCAGAGTGACACCTAGAGTTTCTGTTTCTTTTCTTGTTTTCTTTTTGAGATGAAGAGCTGGAGGTTTTGAAAAATCTGGAGGTTGAAGTGCAGGGCACTTGCCACAGTGACTGAACCTGAGAAGGCAGTCCGTGGAATTTAAAGATGTACAAAGGACTGGGGAAGTAGCACAGCACGTCACATACACTGGTCACAATTAACAGAGGGAGAAAGAGGGAGAGGGCAGCGAAGAAACAGAGCTGGTTTTCTATTGCTGCCCTAACGAATTACCACAAATTTAATGATTTAAACAACACAAATTTGTTATCTTACAGTTCTCTAGGTTAGAAATCTGACATGTGTCTCACAGTTTTAAACTCAGTGTTAGCTTTTCTGGAGGCTCTAGGAGAGAATCCATTTCCCTGCCTTTTTCAGCTTCTAGAGGCTGCTCACATTCCTTTGCTAACAGCCCCCTTCCTCCACCTTCAAAGCCAGCTAAGGCTTTCTCAGCCATTTCTGACCCTTCATCTATAGTCAAGTCTGTCTCTGACCACAGCTGGGGAACTTCCTCTGCTATTAAGGATTCATATGATTAGGTTGGGTTCACCTGGATAATCCAGGATAATCTCCCCATATCAAGGTCTGTACCTGCAAATTTACCATGCAAGGTGACATATTCACTAGTTCCAGGGATTAGGATGTGGACATCTTTGGGTGACCATTATTTTGCTTACCTGAGAGAGAGAGAGAGAGAGAGAGAGAGACAGACAGACAGACAGACAGGAGAGTGGAAAGGGGAGACAGGGAGGGGTTGGGAGGAAGAGCTCAGAAACATTTGCCTGGTGTCTTTCTCCACAAAATGGACTTCCCATAACTGAACAATTAAGAATGCAGCTAACATTCAGCATTTTCTAGTATATTACATTTTACGTTTTGTTGCATATTCAGCAGCTGTAGACATAACATGTGACACTCAAAGCACAAGCCAGTGCCATTAACTCCTGCCCCCTGATCTCATCCAGGAGTCCCCTGTGACATGCAAGCTATCTACAAGTGTGCAGGAAGTCAATTCCTTGTTAAGTATGCTTTATCTTTGTCATATTTCCAGGTTTCCATCTGATGCAAGATGAGCCCCAGGCAAAGCTGTGGGAAGCTGATGTTTGTCTTTGGTGCCGTTCTTGTCTTTTCCACTAAACAGAAGCCTCTTCTTAAAAGCACATACACAACTGTCTGAGGATTCCCCCCCAGCCTTTTCTTTAAGGTATACAAATGGGGAAAGACTAAAAAAGGGTATTCCAAAATGATAGTAATTGTTAGGAGATAAAATTATGGATTTCTTTCTTATTTCTCTTGTAAACAGTATCTACTGTTCTTTTGAATATATCAATTAAAAATGCAAATTCACAAGTGTTAGCCATTTGATGGAGAACTAGTTTTGTCATATGGAACTGAGAGCTGGAGATCAAGATTTAGATTTTGTGGTTATATATATTCAGGAGGCAGCCTGGCCTTGAAGTGAGGAAGGTCAGACTCAGGCAGATCTGGGCTGGAGCCCTGGTACCTCCATCTACAACCTGGCTAACTCTGCACAAGTGATTCAGTGTCCTCAGGTGTAAAATGAGTAAACTAAATAGCTTTTACCTCATAGTGTTTCTGGGAATTAAATCACAGATGCATGCAAATTGCTTAGGCTGGTGTCTAGCACATAACAGACTCTCAATAAATACAAACTATTATTTTTAGATAAGAGCACATAACATTCCTTAATCCAGCCTTCAAAGCAAATATCAAATCAATTATCAGGGACAGCAGGGGTGGTCATGTTCCCAATTTCAGAATGTGGCAATTATGGACAAAAAGAATGTGTCTCTATTTGATAACCTTCAATTTGGGTGAAGGCCCCCCTTAAGTAACTTGATTATATTGACAAACATCATTGGTAATGCAGGATATTAAAACAAAGAATAAAAAAGCAGTCTTTCAAGTTTATTTACTTAACGGAACACTTTGTATTTTCCAGACCCTCTAAGATAGAGAGCTCTGTCCTCAAGAGTTTGTAGTGTATGAGGGGATAAATGAATCCAAATGAATCCAAATAAAAAGATGCAGAATAGATAATAAGCACCATATCATGGAAGGTTAAAGATGGAGGTTTCCCTGAAGGGTGGAAGGGTGGTCAGGCTTCCTGGAGGTGGTGGAATTTGAGCTGGGCTTTGAAGGATATGGGGGGTTTGACAGGGTGACTGGGGGTAGAGGGACATTCTGGATTACCCTGCATGCATTTTCACATACAAGCTTCCACCAGCACAAAAATTCAGTCCATGTCATTCCTCAGAGCTATGCTCTTTGAAATAGGGAAGAAAGAATTTCAATTAATATTATAATGGTTCCTAAAATGATAAATGTGCAAAGAATTTAACATAAGATGCTTATGTTAAAAAGTCTCTTAAAAAGGCATATGTTAAAAATGTATGCATAATATGATCTCAATAATGCAAAATGCACAGAAAAAAATGATAAGAGATACTTTAAAATGTTAGTATTTGTTGCATCTAGGTGTTGGGATCATGGATTTTTTTTCTTCTATATCGATATTGTGTGTGTGTGCTAAATACCTATAAAGGAGTATATAAAACCTCTATGTTTAGTCTAAATAATAATAACAATATAAGCTATTATGAACTTAGCACCTAGGTAAAGAAATAAAACTCTACTGGTATCTAGAAATTCTTTCTGTGCTCCTCCCCAATTGTATGCCTTCCTTTCCACCAAAATAACTATTTCCTTGGAGTTTTTCAACATATATGTGTATGCCTAAATACCATATTGTTTTAATTTAGAGGAAAAAGGCTGAGTGTCAAACACAAATCTAACTGTGCGAGAGAGCACAATATTGCCACTATTATGAAGGCTCCCAGAAGGAGAGGAGGTGAACAGTCTCTGGGTCACAGTCCTACTGAAGCTTTTGTGAGTGTATCTGAACCATCTGGGAGAAGTCAATGATTAAGCCAATAAGTAAGTCCTGAAGTCTAGGGCTCTGGGACCAGAAAATCTAGTAGAGCTATGGATTTATAGACAGGTTATCCAGTAGGTACATGGGCAGAGGCAGTGGGCTGTATGTTTGTTTTGCTTCTAAGCACCTATAGATTCTCTCAAACGCTCAAGAGTAAATCCAAGAAGGAGTGGAATGAATGTCTTCAGCTGGCCCACTCAGCTAGAATGGAAGAGAGAAGCAGAATTTGATCACATGGTCATGGCAAGCAAGTATAGGTAAGAATCTGGACCAGGCTTACCTGGGCACTCTGTCCTCAGGTTCAAAGGAGTATAATGGCAGAGGAAATCCTGGTGATAACTGAGGTAAGAATGTCTCTAGTCTTCAGTCTAACTGCTCCAGTCTGAACTGGCTGTCATCTTCAACGGGGTGGGGGCAAACTATTCTCTTGGGATCTCCACCACTCTCTCAGGGATTCCTTTTAATGCTCTTGTAGGTTGGCTTACTGGTTACCGGTATCCCATGTTCTCTTCATGGTTATTGCTTTATTTTGCACTATTTTGAGAATTTTTCAAAAAAGGAAGTGTTCACGGGAAGTCAACAATGTGAGACCTTGAATATCTTAAAATGATTTTTATTTTATCTTCATATTTGATGGATTGCTTATCTGGACCTAGAATTCTTGTTTGGAAAATAAATTTTCTTCCGAACTTGGAAAGCATTGCTTTGTTGTCTTCCAGCTTCCTTCTTAGTGTTGAGAACTCCTCTCCTCTCTGAACCACCTGTGTTCTCTGTCTGGAACCTTGTAGAAGTCTTTCACCCAATGCTGTGAAATTCCACACTAAGGTGCCTTCCTGTGTACCTGTTTTCATCCATTGGTTGAGTACTTGGTGGACCCTTTCAGCATATCAGTTCATGTCCTTTGATTTGGGAAATTTTCTTGGGTTATTTCATTGATTTATCCCCTCCAGTTTTTTCTTTCTCATTTCTATCATTTAGATATTAGATCTTCTGGATTGAGCCACTATTTTTCTTTTCTTTTCCTTTCTATTTTTCACCTCTGACTTTTTGCTTAACTTTCTGGGAGATTTCCTCAAGGGTATCCTGCCTTGATAGCTTAGCTTTTCATTGTTGTTTCCATGTTTTTCATTCTCAAGAGTGCTTTTTAATATTGTCCTCTGAATGTTACTTTGTTGAATACATAGCCTGTTGTTGTTTCATGACTGAAATATCTTCTTTTATTTCTTTGAAGGTAATATTGATAATTTTGTTTTATTCTGTTTTCTTCTCCCTGCACAATTGCTGTTTCTTCCAGGTTACATTTTTTTTTTCTGGATCTTTAGGTTTTATTTTGGGCTTTTTGATCTTTGCATTTCACAGTAATGGCTTTCCTCAGATGTCTGGTCATGCCTGAATGTCTGGTGGTGATTAAGAATGGGCACCTAAAATGTTGACTGGAACTTCTGAGAGCAGGAGTGGGGCTTTGGACACTGAACTTCCCTGTATGGTGATTTGGGTGGGCTGCTTTTTGCAGAACCCCTGAAAGCAAAATCTTTAGGTATTTCCTGTTGGGCTGGTCAAGTTCTCAAGGAAGAATCTTCCAGTCTGCAGCCTGGTGCTGCCTGTTCTGAGGATTCTGTAGTATAAACTGGACTGGTTCTCAGCTTTCCCCATTGCTAGCTTGGGATTTGGTTTTCTTGGTTCTGTTTCCTGTCCCTACTCTTACAGTTGGGAAATGAAGAAACTAGAGAACATACAAATGAAGGGGAAAAAATTTTGTGAGAATGTTTGATGTCTATTTTTTTCCCTCATGGTACGATCTTTAGAATATTTGATATCTTGATCCAGGTGATGGTTACATTTGTGTACACACATGTCAAAATTCATTGAGCTGTACACTGAGATTTGTGCATTTTACTGTGTGTACCTGAAAAAACAAAGAAACAACAAAACAAAGATAAGATTATGATATGAGGTTAAATTCTGGATCTCAACATTCATTTTATTTCAGAAAGAAGTCAACTGAATTATTTATGTCCTAGATGTTCAGCTCTTTCATCACCTGGGGTAGTAACCAGCAGAATGCCGGAATTGGAAGGCACTTTGGAACTAACTCAAGCCTCACCTATACAGGGAAAGAGCCCTGTATTTGCTCCAGAAGGCATTCTCCGAGCACTCTGCTGGGCCTATTATACAGCTAGCTCAAGATTCTTGGGCATACATGTCTGCCTAGGGGAGAAGGGAGGCCCAGAGGTCTGGATCTTGAGGGAAAGGAACTTTCAGAGGTAGTCTGCCCAGTTGACTGTGTCTTCGCAGAGGCACCAAAGCAAACTGCGTCCAAGTTGCTTTATCAGGTTTTGTCCCTTTTGACAAAGTTCTGAACATTTGGGAAGAGCTTGTCCTGGAGGAGTGGGTCATAGTGTGACTATGAGGAAGAACCGTGGAGGAACACCTCACCTGCTATTGCCCTACCAGGGACAATCCAAAGCCAGAGACCCAGTTTCCAAGCCCATCACTAAACCTGTGCCATGGGGTGAGTCAACACAAAGTACTGTTATTCTAAATAGCCTCAATTGATAGAATCATAGTAAACATTAGGAGCCAGAGGCTTTTAAATTGATCTTAGGTGTCATTCTGGTTGTTCTTTCTACTAAAATTTCCCTCATTTGGTAATGTGCTGATTTAGCTTCATATCCTCCCTTTTTTCATTATATTTTGCATTTAACTGTAATTTTATTTATTTGTTTGAATAGGTATTACTACATTTGTTTTTCAAATTTCAAAAGGTGCAAGTCTCCCGTTTTCCCACATATCCCAGCCCCTAGTTTCCTTCTCTAGAGGCAATTAATGTTATACATTTTTCTAAGTCTCTTTCAGAAAAATTTTGTGCACATGCAAGCAATTAAATACATTCTTTTTTCTTTTGCCTTTTGCACAGGTGGAAGTATTCTGTACACAGTTTTCTGCACCTCTCTCCCCACAAAATGGTGGGTTTTGTTGATGTTGTTTAATATACTTCTACATAGTATTTCATTGTATGGATGAACTACAGTGTATTCAACCAATCCACTAAGGATGAGTAGTAACATTTCATCTCTACTTTTTCTTTTGCAGACTTTATATTCTACTCTTTTTTCCTCACTGTTCTTTTAAATTTTTATTTTATTTTTTAAAAATAAGATATAAATAAACATATAGAATTTTAATAGATATTGCCAAATTGAACACTAAAAAGGTTATACAATTTACACTCTGACTTAATACATGAAAGTGCCTGTTTTGCATTGTTCACAACAGGCAAATTATGGAGACAACTCAAATGTTTATAGGCAGATAAACAGATAGAGACAATGTGGTATATACATGCAATGGAATGCTATTCAACCTTAAAAAAGAAGAAAAATCTGCATTGTGACAACATGAATGAACCTGGAGGACATTACGTTAAGTGAATCAAGCTAGTTAAGCTAGATAATACCGTATGATATCACTAATATGTGGTACTTAAAATAGTCAAACTCATAAAAGCAGAGAATAGAACAGTGATTACCAGGGACTGGGGGAAAGGTAAATGGGCAGTTGCTACTCAACTGGTGTAAACTTTAAGTTAAGCAAAATAAATACATTTTAGAGATCTGCCAGTTGCCATAGTACCTCTAGTTAACAGTCCTATATTGTGCATTTAAAAATTTGTTAAGAGGGTAGATCTTATATTAAGTGTTCTTAGCACACAAAGGGACACAAGGAAGCTTTTGGAAGTGACAGATATGTCTATTTTCCTCCACTGTGGTGATGGTTTCATCGGTGTATGCGTATGTCCACTCATCAAATCATACAATTAAATATGTGAAGTTTTTTGTATATCAGTAATGACTCAATAAAGCTGTTTTAAAAAAGAGGGAAAGTGCATTTTTTTTACAGCTTCACCAATATAGGTTACTCTCAATCTGTGAAATATTCAACCATCTAATAAGCTTTATTTGTTCATTTTTAACTAATACTTTCCGTAATCTTATCATGCAGAGGTAAGTGATTGCTTGAACAAATTTACAAAATATTGAAGAGCAAAATAAGACAATTAAAAAAATATAAACATAATCCCACCCAGCAGCAACCAAGTTACAATTTGGGGGGAATTTACTGCCAGTGCTATAATTTACGTTCCTTTTCTTCTTTTTAGGGGTACAAATACAGTTAATATACTACATATATTGTTTTTAAACTCACTTTTTAAAGTTAATAATATGATGAACATTTTCTATATTACTGATTACTTCTCTGTCTTCAACACATTAAAATTTTTATTATAAAACATTTGAAACATATGTAAAAGCAGATAGAGTATCATAATAAACATCCACATATAAAATGTCTAGATCTAAAAATTATTAACATTGTCCCATTTCACTTCACCTATTTCTTTTTATTTGCTGAGTATTTTAACTTACTTTCTGGCCATCATATTTTACCCTACATCCATTTTTCTAGATTTTAGTAAAACTGTTCTGTCTCAGTTTTCTCCTTAATCTGGTATTATTACAAGTGATTTTTTTATACACACACACACACGTATACATATGTGCAAACATACATACATATTTATAAGTATGTGATACCTATATATATTATATATATAATGTGATATCTATATCTATATCTATATCTATATCTATATCTATATCTACATCTACATCTACATCTACATGGTAGAATTACAGGGCTTCCCTGAAGCAAAATAGTAGAATTAGGCAAGCTCCTTGCCCTGAGGTAACCAGCACTGTTGTCCTTTTTCTAGGGACCCAACAAAAACATTCACACAGAAATGCTGGGAACTTAAAAAAACAACAAATACTACTAAAGAGCACATGAGTCTTAAAATCTTTCTCTTTAAAGCAACATTAGTTGTAAGGTAGGTGGGAAGATATTAATATCCTTATTTTACAGGCCAGAAAACCAAGGGTCCATGAAGTTTACAGGCCAGAAAACCAAGGGTCCACGGCTAATATAAGCCACAGGCTAATGAATATAAAAGGGATTCTAACTCATCTTCTTACTTCAAAACCAAATATTCTTCCTTGTAACAGTTTTGCATCTTAAAAGAAGACTGCAGAAGGGAGCGATGCTTCCCACACAATGATGAGTGAGTGGTGTGGGATTCTGGGCTTTGGAGGAAGATATTTTGGGAAAGAACTTCTTTTCCAAAGACCAGTCTTTCTGCTCTACCCGGAGTGGGAGCACACGAGGGTCTGCCTTGAGGGAGGAAACAGTTGGGGGAGATTTTGCAAAAAGAACAGAAAGGATTTGGAAATTTGCTGGACACTGGGAATGAGAAGGAGGCATTGGGGAGGATGCCAAGGCTTGAGCTTGGATAAAAGGAAGATTTTGGACTTGGAGCTGATTTTAGAGAAAGGATGACAGTACCCATTGACTTTGACATACTGTCTTTGGAAAATATCTAGATAGAGGTACTGAGTGGTTATTTGGAGATTCAGGATTACAGCTCAGAAAAGGAATCCGTAAGGCTGTAGAGTTAGGAATGGTTGAAATAGAGACAGTAGTAGGTAAAGGACATGGTAGGAGATGGATAGAGACAGAGAGAGCGGAGAGAGCCAAGGATGAGGTCATATATAGGGTCATCAGGACAAGGAAGGAGAAAACCAAGAACAAATGGAGGACACCCAGAAGCAGCATCAGAGAAGAGAATGAGAGGAGGATGGTATAGTGTCATCAGAGTCTGATGAAGGGTCCCACCAAAGAAGGCAGAGCTTATCAACAGACCAAAAGCTACAGGACAGTCAAGGAGGATGAGAACTGAGAAAAGGCCATTGGATGTGATGACAGCTGGGGGTGTGTCACTGAACTGAATAGGGGAAAATCAGGTTGCAGGATTATGAATGGGGTGATATATGGATAAAATAAGCATATATCACTCCATCACCTCATGCTCCCATACATAAGGGGTCACTGGCTCACACCAGGGCAAAGTCACGGGACACCCCCTCCTCTCTCCCTGCAGCTCCAAGCCCCAGCTCCCATTCTCTTGCAAATACACATTGCATTCATATCTGCTGCTGTTGCTCATTTAAACTACCTTCTTCCTAAATAAATATTGGCAACAGGTTATAAAACAAGGCTCTTTGCCCTCCAGTATCACCTATGTTCTACACAGGTTGTGTACAGAAGGTTCCAGTAATAATAAGAGAGAGAGAGAGAAAATGTGTGCGTGTATAATTAAGGTATAACATGCATATATAAGAAAGTGCACAAATCTTGTGTTACAGCTTCATGAATTTTTATGTAGTATATGTCTGTGTATCTATATCCTGATATAGAACAGTTTTAGCACTCTAGTAGGTGCCCTTGGCTGTGGTTATGGAGAACTGGTCCAATCCCAGAGATAAATCCATCCTGACTTCAATATTGAACTCGTGAAAGGCAGCAGGATAGCATGATGGTGCAAAGTATGGACACAGGGCTCCTACCTGGGTTTGAATCTCAGTTTCACCACTTACCAGCTCTGTGACCTTTGGCAACTTACTTAACATTTCTGTACCTCAGTTGCCTCATCTGTAAAATAAGGCAATAGTGGTACCTATTTGATAGGATGATGTAGAAATTAGGAGAGGCCCGAGAATGTGCCTGGCATATAGGAAGCACTCAGTAAGTGTTAGCTCTTTTGAAGCCATTGGTGGGAATTCCAGTTGCACCACTAGACCCAGTGGAGCATACATTTAGGGGTGGGCCATGTTGACCCTTCAATCCCACCTGCGGTCATTTCCATCTTGCTTATAAGGAGCCATGGCTTTTCACTTCATCTTCCCAGTCTCTTCATGGATTTCTGATCTGCCCTGTCCTTGGGTACTGCACACTCAGCTGAGGGGGTGGAGACGCCCAGCCTGCCTCTGGTGGTGACCTTATCAAGATTTTTCCATCACACCCGCTGGGTCATCGGAAAGGCTTATTCACTGTGCAGGCCAGTCAGCTTCCAGGGAACTCATCAGCAGACTGGAACTGGGGTGTGTGTGACCTGCAGCTGCTCCCAGGGCTTTTCCCTTCCTACTCCCCACCCTGGGTTCACCTCTGGAATTGGACCAGTTCTCCACAATTGCAGCCACGGTGACAGGAAAGTGTGATGGATGGACAAGGAGCTGTGGAGTGGCAGGGTGCTTGGTCAGGAACCCAAGGCTGTGTTTATGAGAAGGAAGAGGCTGTTTCCTGCAGCAAGCATAATGCAGCTCTAAAAAAGGCAAGGGAAATACATCATGCAAGGGAGCATAACCCTGGGAGGGCCACTGGGAATCCGAGTACCAGAGAAGCCCTGGCAGGTCAAGGTGCCTCTGACAAGGCCTTTTTTATAGGCCATTTGCGTGAGGGTTCACTGCTGTTCCCTGCAGAGCTGACAGCCATTCAAGGTCTCAATGCAGAGGCTGGAAGCTAATCTTAGCTGTTGCTTTACAGACCTTCTCCACCGGCCCGCTGATGCATTTAGAAAAGAAAGAACAAACTACTGTTTTTTAAAAAACTGCAAAAATGATAATTTCAGCTGTTGATTCTCACAGTGCTGCAGATAGATTGGGAGTTTCAACTCCTTCCCCTCCTTCCAAATTCAGGGCCAAAGAAACTGGATTCCCCCAATGGTCAAGAGACATGTGAAAATGTGTTTCCCTTAAAGAGCATTAATATCTCTGTTTATCTCTAAAGATTCTTGTTCCCCTGAAGATCCTGCAGGGCCATAAAGACGACTCAGGATAAAACCAGCACTCTTTCAGTTTCCCATGGCTGCTGTAATCAACTACCAACTTAGTGGCTTTAAGCAACAGCAATGTATTCTCTCAAATTTCTGGAAGCCAGCAGTCCCAGCGGAAGCTTACAGGGCTAAAATCAAGATTCCGGTAGGGCTGGTTCCTTCTGGAGGCCCCAGGGGAGAGCCCGTTCCCTGCCTCTTCCCGCTGCGGGGGTTGCGGGCATTTCTTGGCTCGCAGCCCCTTCCTCTGTCTTCGAAGCCAGCAGCAGAGCATCTTCCTTCTCTGCATCTGCTTCACCCTGCTTCTGTGGTTTAATTTCCCTCTGCCTCTTTCTCTTTTTTTTTTTGGTAAACTACACATAAGATAATTTATTATCTTAGCTGTTTTTAAGTGTGCAGTTCAGTAGTATTAAATACATTTATAAGATTGTGCAACCATTGCCACCATCCATCCATATCCCTTTTCATCTTGTAAAACTGAAACTCTATATCCCTTACAGAATGACTCTCCACTCTCTGCTCCCTTTTGGCCCTGGCAACCACCGTTCTTCTTTCTGTTTCTATGATTTTGGCTACTCTGTCTCTTGTAAGTGGAATCACACAGTGTTTATCTTTTTATGACTGGTTTATTTCACTTATATTACTGGCATGATGTCCTCAAGGTTCATCCATGCTGTAGCACATGTCAGAATTTCCTTCCTTTTTAAGGCTGAAAAAGACTTTAAAAGGATTATTATTAATGGAATAATAGCTGGATTATTCAGGAGGGTCTTAAATGTAATCCTATTAATGGAATAATAATTGCTGGATTATCTGTTAATTCCAATTTTGTTTTTTTGAGAAAAAACTGTCACACTATTTCCCATAGCAACTGTACCATTTTACATTCCCACCAAGTGTGCACAAAAGTTCCAGTTCCTCCACATCCTTGCCAACACTTGCTATTTTCTGTTGTTTTGATATCAGCTACCTAATGGGCGTGAATGAGGTTGTACCTCACTGGAGCGGTTTTTTGCATTTTGCTAATGGAAAAAGTGGTTTTGATTTGCATTTTCCTAATTATCAATGCTTTTGAGCAATGTGCTTATTGACTGTTTGAATATCTTCTTTGGGAAATGTCTGTTCAAGTCCCTTCCTCATTTTTGAATTGGG